TAAACGTTTTTGGGTGATTCATATGCGTGTTTTTGTACACGAATTTTATAAAACCGAGTGTCATAAACAATCCAGTAGTCTCTGGTAGAATTGCTGCATAAATAAAGCCCAAAACTACACAACACCAACCGAAGCTTATAATATTTGAAAGATAGGATGCAGCAGCAAGTTTCTTATAAATACTAACATTGATTGAATATTTGTGACCAGCAGTCTTCTGTTCCGTGATTAAAATATAATTTTTGACCCATTCGTCGAAAAAGGGCCGCCATCCCTGACCTAGGGAAATCTTCCTACTTGTTTTGATAAACTAATTATCTACGTTTAGCAGTTAATTTAAATAAAAACGTGTTATTTATAAGTAAATGGATATCGGTCTTCATTTTTTGTATATTTGAAAATCTCGTATTTCTCTACTTTGTAATTTTGTATTCGATAAATGAAAATAAAAGATCCCTCACAAATGCCTTAGTATAATTTTCAAAAGATAATTGAAATAAGACACTGTCTTATTTTCGGAGAAACACGGTAGTAAAAATCCCTCCGTTATAAGCTCAAAGTAGTCGTTTGCCAAAAGATTCAAATAACAACAGCCATTCACACACGATATTCAAGCATGTAGTCCGGCAGATAAGGGGACCTTTTTGGCCCAAGTTTGATTTCAGACATGAATTTTTTTGTATTTGTGATTATTCATCTTGGGGTCATTGCCCATCAATTCTACATGGGCGTGGAGTTTGCACCCTTGAGCACTTTTTTTACGGCTCGATATTTGTATTAGTGTTTTTTGTCAAACCTGTGCATCATGATTACGCACAACCTGAATCATAACATGTTACAATACTATGTTCAGGTTGTGCGCAATCTTGGTGCACAAACTACGCAAGCACCAAATTTACTAAGAAATAAAATCAATAACTTTTAGGTATTTGTTGAGCCCAGCTATGGGTCGCGACCCATATACAGTATATTGAAATACTGTCGAAACATACGCGTAAAATAAAGAGTACTATTTCAAAATACCCGCTTTTGTTGCAATTACCAATACAAGCCTGCTAATGCAGTCGCCAGTCTGGTTCAAGAGGATATACACCGGGTAGAGAACAGTCAATTATTTGTTAGCGAGAATTGTTATGCAGCGGTATGATCACGACGACGCAGTGAAAGATAATGATATTACGAGAACAAGAATGAGAAAATTGCTACATTTTGTAGTATTCCCTGGGAAAGAATGTAGTTCATTCTTATGTTCCATGCCAATGCTTTTCAAACTACCAAAGACTCTCAACACTTTTGCTTCTTCTCTTCTATAAAAATACATTGTTATTATATATTCGCATTTCCATCTGTTTGTTCGTGCTCCCAGATAACCGATCAGCGCTTCCAAGGAGGACGAGGTCCCCTTTTAAGAAACCCTGTCATAAACTAAAAGAGGCAACCGTGCTTCTCTTGCATGTTGTCATGCTGTCCCTGAAATTCAGCTACAACGAAAATTTCACGAAAACGGATTTTTAAATTTGAATGATATACGGGTGGTAAAATGCCAAGTTATTCTAACAACATGATCATGTTTTGCAATTTACAACCAATATTTTGTATGTAACTTTGTTTGACAGATCCCCAAGAGCTCTAACTACAAATATCAAAAATGTGAGGCCAAAATAGTCACACTACAACATTGTCAAATGTGCTGTATTTACGATAGATAACAGGTTTACTAAAAAGAATTACATGAAAAATGGTAAAATAAAGATCAATTCAGCAATATCTAAATGATGATATGCATCTGTTGATGATTTTATGTGTTTGTTTCGGAAGTTTAACAACAGAATTAATTGTGGTTGTTGGGGATGTTTTAAAAAAGGTTGCATGGAAAAAAAATTTCACAAAATGTCAAGGTTTGATAGTAGTAGAGAAGTAGAAAAAATACTCCCATGTTTTTTTTTTTTCATTTGATAACCGCGCCACAGAACTTCCCCGATAGGTATACGCAGCAATTGCGAGAGGCAGAAATGCCAAGATGGGATTTCATTGCATGACAAACCAATGTTATATTAGCAATTCTTATATATATTCGCGCATTCCCATCTGAACAGCGTGGAAAAGATTATACCCATCTACACACTTTAAGAACTATGTCAGATGAGCGTCATATTATCGAATATCAGTAAAGGAATAGTGCAATGGGAAAAGACATAAGGCGAGACTTTCAGTAGTATGCAATCAAATAATCTTATTGTAGAATATATATATATTTAAATACATTTCGTCACGCCAACTGCAGTCCGACACTTTTTGTCTCTGGCTGAGCTTAGATACCAATTGGCACTCATGTAAACTGGTAAGACTGTGAGAAGCACGTGATGGAGCAGATACTAAGAGTATCCATCCCCCAGCTGTCATTTGAGTGGGTACGCTGTTTTTATTGCAGATGTTACTTTTTTTTTTGTATTAAAGATTTACTGGCATCCCCAATTTAAGGATGTTGGAAACCAACACGCAATATTACAAAACTTATTTTCAACACGCGGTTTGAATGAATGAAAAAGCTGAAACTAGTATTCTTTAGAACAGCATACAAATTCTATGAAATGAAATCATACACAAAAGCTCGTCAAAAACCTATAGCTCAATAATCAAGTGGAATTTGATGCATGTGCGCAAAAATGTGCGCGTTACTACGTACAACCGAAGCACGCGGGAAAATGTGTGTGATGTACTAGTATTCGAAACGTTTTACGCAACTATGTTGGCATAACAGGTGCACATCTCGGTTTCGCATACGCATACCTTCTATCTCCACAAGGATATATTAATTTTGCCAAAGTCAATGCAGCACCGAAAGGTTGCGGTTCTTCCAAAAGAAAACACGTTACGCATCTTTAGATACCAGTGGATGGTTTTACATGGCCTTATTCGGAGTGAAAGACGAGGTCAAATATTCCAATCCAATTCAACTAATAAAATATTTTCCAAGTCCCTAAGCTTAAACTAGGAAAACGAAATGCCAAATGTAGTTTGAAGAGCGCAATAGAAAGTGGCTGGATGCTGTCTATGGATCTTGGCTTGTATTAGTGAAATAAACTACCATTTATTCTACTAAAATTGAATTTCTGACATTGTAAGGAGATTCAATGTTACTATGTATGCAAAACTAAACCATGTAGTTATGAAATAATTTTTTTTAACAAAAAGGCGCTCCTGAGGTATTCGTGCCAAGATGGCGCACAACCTGAACATTGTATGTTTACCAGGTTAGGGTTCAGGATGTGCGTCATCTTGGACCGAATACTTTAAATCCACTTAAAAAAATTTCTCAACATTATATACTCCACACCCACCTGGGTATCATTATATATGTCATATACATTATATCTAAACAATAAAAAAAACTTTATGTCTCAAAACAATGTTAAGGCCCGAATCTGCCGGACTAATACGTTGTCAACTAATAATATGAGGATTATAAACGAACTAATTCTTGAACTATTAGAAGTACATGAAAATATATCATAGTTTGAATCAGGGGTGTGATACATTTAATACAAGAGGGCCAGATACAAATAGCTGGGTGAAACCGCGGGCCGCACATTTACCTAACATAGGCTTTCTAGTAGATGCAAGCACAAAATTTTGATCATTATGAGTTGTTCTCTTCGAACAGGCTAGCTGTTAGAGGATTGTAACGCCATAGGCATAGATAAGGACTCATGTATAGGCTTTGCAACGCAAAGGGATTGGAATTACTCGCACGTACCAGATTAAACCAAATTAAAAACTTGTTTCCCGGGCAACACGTCACTCAGAATTGACACTTCTCCGCGGGTTTTACACCCCTGATGTAAATCATAAAAAAAACAGCTATATAGAAGAGTGCTGAGAATTTTTGTTATTGGCCACGAATCAGGAATGTTTGGGAAGCACTGTGCACTATAGTACAGTGGTTTTCAAATGTTTTATTTTATTGGGGGGGGGGGGGGGGGCACCAAACTTTTTGGACCGCGGGACAGGTATGACCCAAACTGGGTTGAAGCGGGCCGGACAAATATATTTGTCAATGCAATTGAATAAATTCACAAAAGCTGGGAAATCCATTGAATTTATTCAACAATTTGAATTCTATATTTCTGGAGTCTTGAATATTGAATTCGACTATAGATCAAGAGCATCATACCAAAACAAATATACAAGTTTTCCTTCTCTATGTTTCTCTTTCAACAATGAGTTAGCTTGTAGATCCTTAATCTACAGTTGCAGTTCATCTGGTACGTTATCTGTGCAACAATCAAAGGGGTTCTGAAACAGACAAATCTCGTTTTCAATTCTGTCAACATCTGAGAGAAAAATGCTTTCTCAAGTCCTGGACAATCTTTTTCTGAAATTCCAATTCACTCGTCCAACATATTCAGCGCAAAATACTTGAAAAGAGTGAATATGTGAGAAGTCTCCTCTTTCAAGTTGTGCTTCAAACAAAGACAGCTTTCTTCGAAATGCTTTGATGATTCTGTAGAGATCACAGATAAGATTGTCCTTCCCTTGTAGTTTTAAGTCCAATTCATTCATGTAAGAAGTGATGTCAACTAAAAATGACAATTTTGATAGCCATGCAAGATGTGACAGCTGTGGATCAGCTCTATTCTTTTCAATAAGAAACTGCTCTATTTCTCTTCTGAGCTTGTAAAAACGAGACAGGACTCTGCCACAGCTGAGCCATCTCACAGCTGTGTGGTAAGGTAAGTCACTGAAATCAGAATCAATGTCTTCAAAGAATCCCTGGAACTGGCGATGATTAAGACCATGACTTCGAATAAAGTTGACCACAGCTGTGACAGGTTACAGCACACAAGAAACATCGAGGTCTTGTTGCTTGTTGATGTATAATGCAGTCAGACGTTTAGGAAGTTGAAGATCTTCCAGCTGTTTGTGAATCTGCCCTACCAAACCCTTCATCACTTCTGCCATGTTTTCCCTCCATCAACTGTAACACATCGAAGTTGGTTTCACTGAAGATTATAGTCTTGTAAAGTTTTCTGCACCTCCTTGAAAATGTCTTCTCCAATCGCTGTGCCATGCATGCTACAAACGGATACCAACTCTTCTGTAATATTGAGCTTGGTATCAACACCGCGGATGAAGATTAGCAGCTGCGATGTACTTGAGACATCTGTCGACTCGTCCAGTGCCAATGAATACCACAAAAAGTTCTTTACTTTGTCATGGATCTGTTGCTTTACATTTGCTCCGAGTTCTTCTACTTTCCTAACAACTGAAGACGGTGATAAGCCTCTACCTGTGAAGAGATTGACTTTCTCAGGACACAAATAATTTACTGCTTCCAATATGCAGTCTTTAATGAAGGCCCCATCAGTAAATGGTTTTTCCCGCTCTACCAACTTTGTCACTATTTTGTGACTCGCGTGATTTTCCGCAAACTTCTTCGTGAATAGTTTCCTCAGAGATTCTAAACTACGTCTCGTGGACTCATATTTATCACTGCGCATCTTGCCAGTATATTTAGAATATATTGAAAGATGTTTAGTTTCATAGTGACGACGAACATTATATTCCTTTTTCACGGCAACAATGTCATTACATATTAGACATATAGCATTTTGATCATTTGATTTTATAAAGAAATATTTCTCTCCCCATTCATTATTGAAAAAACGACATTCTGCATCTATCTTTCTCTTTTTAGTGGCAATGATGACTGGTGAAAAAAAATATATACTATTGAGCAGTACGTGAGAGATTACAGAACTTTTTGCCCAACATGCACGTTCGACGTTCATTTTAGCATGAGAACGTACACAGCAACAGTTTCGCCGAAAGCACGCGCCACGAGTGTAAGAGTGCATCCTTCGCAGAATACGATGCGTACCGGTTGAGAATTTTAGCCAATTTTACCACAGCTATTTCTAGACTATTTTTTGATTACTGCACTAAAACTACAACTCCTAAGCTGGCAAAATGATGATTGGTTTATTTGATTCATATCTAAATTTCCGAAACAAAACCATAAACTAACGAATAGCATTCAAAATCGCGAAAACGAGGTATTGTTTACAACCACACTGAAAATCTGTCTGAGTGACAAAAGTGTCTGAACGATTGCGAAATGGCTTATTGGTACGTCAGGTTTTGCATCTTGCTGATTGGCCAATGTTACGAAATAACAAGGAAGTAGAAGCTCGAGGAATCATCTCTTGGAAAAAACGTTTTTTGCCATTTTTTCGTGTTATTGCGTGCCGGATGATAGGTCGCCGCGGACAGTAGTTTGGTGACCCCTGCAATAGTCTAATTCTCTTATACCAAAAATATGCGATTAATAATAAAATTAAAACACTCATGTTCGGATTTTTTATAATAAAATACAAAATGTTAAAGAATTAAATTTATTCTTCTAAAAAAACTTATTAAAGGATGATCATGAGCCTGGTGTCTCTCTTTGCGATTGGATCGTGTTTTGACAGACAGAAGAATTGTAGAAACTATATTATATAAAATAACCTAATGCTGTTAACACAAAATGCCTATAGTGTAGCAAGTTTAATAATAGTTGCAAACCAAATAGGAATTAAGTTACATTTACACAAACCAACATATATCAATATATCACTAGCCAAGTGACTCCCGTAATATTTGTACCTGGAATTATGGCTTAACCTGGTACACATACTACGTTCCGGTGTCCGCCATCTTGGTTCACATACTACGGGAGCGCCTCCATATTAAATTTCGGTTTAGAATGGAAACTTGCGGAAACCCTGGTCTGCACTGACGGAATCCTGGTTAAAAACCACCACTCTAATGCAGTGGTTCTCAGCCTATTTTTCAAGCGACCCAATTTTTTTAAAAATAGAATTTTGTAAAATCTCACCCAAGGATATGTTCCGCTACTACGCAGAATCAATGCACTATGCCTTAAAATTTCAAGGCTTGAATGGTCACAAAATTTACTGACTGACTAATAACAGCAGATGCCAAGTTTCCATGCTGTGATACAACCCACATATACAATTACTATACATATTGCAGCAGTACGACTTAACCGGAATACCGGTAGGTGCTCGCCACTAATACAGTCTAGTAATAATTAGTTCAAAAGATCCCGTGTGCTGCAAAGCCACACAAATAGGTTCAATGTGCACGATGCAAACGAAGAGACTTTATTAAAATAGTGTAAAATCCACGCTTGAAGCAGATAAAATAAGAGCGACAAAATACAACGCTTACTCTTGGGACAGCAAAGAAGAAAAAAGCTGACACTGCGAATCCGCAACACGGTTTACATATGCAGTGGTGGTTGGAGTAGGGCTCAGACTCCACACACCCATGCATATGCAATAACCAGACAAGAAATATAAATAAAATACAAAACAATAAAAAATAGGACAATTTCAGTCCCGCCACAATATTACTACTTGGGCAACACTATATAAAATAAACAATAAAATTGACTAGAAACGCAGTAACTTTTAGTTTTTTTTTTTGGAAAAACAAACGATCAAAGAAAATTTTCAAGCGTCCCATAGGTTTGGAACCACTGCTCTAGTGAGAGTAAGGGATTAGGGATCCCTTATTGTGAAAATACAGAACGCATGGGTAAATTTTTAAAAATGTGAATCAGCTAGTACATAGAAGATCTAGTTATTTGTATTCAAATCCACGTTTTCTGCCATCGTTTCGAAATATTCTACATTCAGTCCTGTACCCGCCCATTGCGTTATATGCTTCTTCATTTCACTGTACACAGTAATGAATAAGTTGGGAAATCGCCTCGAAAAAAAGTTCCAAAATCCGTCGACGAGGTTAAACATGAAGCAAGCCTGTACTTCTTTACGCCCTTCCCGAAAATGTTCCATTCGAGCTCGAATGAATCTAACAAGAGACTGAAGCTGCTTTACAGGGTCTTGGTCTTGGCAACCCGCGGCAGGGACCCGAGGCCTGGCAATGGTAGAGTAATCCTTGACTAAGTCTTTTATTTGGGTTAGTTTTATTGTTTTGTTTCGCGCTTCTTTATTGAGCTCATCCTGGTATTTATCTCTTTCTTCTAAATCTCCTATTTTCATTTTTTCTTTCCATCCTTCTTCTGTGTCAAAAACGTCTGTTGACCTACCGTTCAATGCGTCTTTTAACCTTTTCCCTTTGTCTCCTTTACTTATTCTGGCGACCGCGCACAGAAAATAAATCTTTTTCTGAGTGCTCCAGAAGAAAGGATGTTGTAGGATGTTACATGTATTGACACTGACAGTCGTCATCAATGTCAGCAAGTCATCTTCGATAGTTTTTTTTTCCCCGTGTCTTGGGTCGCTTTTACGACTAGGATTTCTCCTTTGCTTTTTAATAATGGATTTAAATATTTTGCGCATATCTTTTATGTCTTTCTTTTGTTCTTCCAACGTTGCAGGCTGTCCCATCACTGCAGTAGGATGTTTCAGCACCACCCGTTCTCTCGGGTTAGTAAGCATCAAGTTCTCGAGCCTTATATCGCCGTGTGCCCATCCATTCCCATGAATATGGTGTACCGCATGCGTTAATTGGCAGAGAATAATCGTCGTAAATCTTTCGTCGTATTGTTCAAAGTGTCCCAATGAAAGTGTTTGGTTGAGATTGATTATTGCGCTGTATTCTTCGTTGCTGCAGATTCCTTGTATTCGACAGAAAACGATGTTTGGATGTGGGGGAATTCTGGCGCCATCAATCACTGTTTGTCTCTCGATACATTTTTGAATGACGGTCATTTCGGCGTTCATTTTGAGTGGATATATATATATTCACTAATTTTTAATTTATACTCTACAAAAACAAAAATTACATTAGACTTATATACATGCAGATAAACAATCAAACCGTAAATATGGCTGCTGCACAATCCTAGCTACACTACCCAAAATAAGACCAGCACTATTCTTCTAGAAACCAACCCCATCTCTTTTTTACAACCCACAAATTAAAAAAATTTGATCTCCGACCCAAGAATATGCTTAAATACTGAACGCCACCAGTGCTTTTATGACCGAATAATTAAGATACTAATATTAAATATTCATTTTACATTTATTTTTTCAAAAATAATTTTGAAGTGAGAAAGCTGCACTTGTTTGCTATCAGCGGCATTTTTAAATCGCGGCTTGGCTTTACTTAAACAAAATAGATTTTCCCACGCTCATACGCTTTGATACTTTCGACAAATACAATTGATACCATTGAGCAACATACAAATAACAAATATAAAATAAACAGTAAAGTTCACTATATGAAATAAAATCAGTAACTTCAAGTTTTTGTTGAAAAAGCAAGAGACCACAAAAGATTTTCAGACGACCCAGTATTAAGTCGTGACCCATAGTTTGGAAAACACTGCTACCGTGTTTCCCCGAAAATATGACCTAGCCTGGATTTTAAAAATGACTTCAATATAAGCCCTCTCATTAAAATAGTCGATAGCGCGATATAGCAAGAAATTTCCCATACACGTTTTAAATGATTAATAATCTATGTTTAGCAGGTATTTTGAATAAAAACGTGTTATTTATAAGTAAGTTTATTCAAAAATCTCGTAATTCTCTACTTTATAATTTTGTTTCTGATAAATGAAAATCAAAGCCACCCCCCCAAAATAATCCCCTGTCTTATTTACGCGATAGCATGGTATAAACAAACCGCTGTTTTATTTTTTTTAAATAAAATAACCATAAAAATATTGAGTTGTTTTGTTTTAATGAATTTTATGTGGTTACCCGAAACTCCTTAAAACCGTAGCGTCTTAGAGCCAGAAGTAAGATTTCAGCTCCAAATCAGAAAATGTAATTGGATTTCATTTATTTGTATACGCTCTGCCCGTTTTGATATTAATGTAAACGGGTCTTATGTTCATCCAAATCTATGTTATGTGTTTGGTTATAGGTTAAGGCTTTGAAGTCAAAAGTGTGGGACAGTAACTTTTGAAACCACAACGGAAGAGTCTCAAGATGGCGCTGTAAGGCAATTCGTGTATATAAAAATGGGTGACCGTACATTTGAACCCATGCGTATATCCACGGGTTCAATCTATATACGGGTGCTAAAACCCATGGGTTAGGGTTAGTATGGGTTTAACTATCCGTGAAACATCGAGGGGATTCCCCTCAATAGAGAATGCCGTTTTAGTTTAAACTTTCAAAAGGAGAAGTTGCGTTCAATATTAATTAAAAGATGCACATTACATTACATAAGGACTATACGTGCTAACCATAGCTTTAAGTCATTAAATTTTAAAGCGAAATAGCATCCGAAAAGCATTTTCCTTAATTCAAAATATTAGCTACATAACACCGTTTCTAGTCGGCATAGTGCAGAACAGTTTGTTCCTCGTCACCAAAGATAACTAATAGGTTCTTTACAAGGCAAAGGGATTGGAGTTGGATCGCACGTTCCAGATTAAACTAAATTTAGAACTCGTTTTGCGGTCCGCATACCATTGATGATTGGCACTTATTCGCGGGCCGCACAATTTTTCCTTGTGGGCCCGGGGGCCGCAGATTACACACCCCTGGGTTAATATATAAAGAATGTAGACTGCTCGCCTTTGGGGGTCAAAAAGTTCGGGGAAATAAATTCGTTGCAGGATTGGATTTCAGCAGATTTGGCTAAAAGGGAGCCCGCATAGAACTCCACTTGTATTGGGTAGTCAATACCGAGCCGGAGACTTCAAATTGCAAAATTCCGGTACTTAAAAATAGTGTCTCTTTTCATATAATGAGATATCAGAGGATTGGTATTGGCGACAGTAAACGCCTTATAACAATATTTTATAATAAACACTCCTACTTTAGGAAGTTATTTCATAAAGAATAACAATGTTGTGTATATTTCTATAGGCTGCAGTAGTGATGCATATATAATAATGTCTGGTAAGTCGCATTTCCACGTTTTCCGGAGTCAGAGTAAAAATTACAAATTCCCCGTTTCAATCTCTGGGCCCTGAAAATTGAAAAAACAATGATGTTTAACTATATACATAATAAGAAGATGTCTTATTAGATATTTTACCAGTACCTATGCTGCATAGTCTAACACAGGGGTCGGGAACCCATGGCTCGCGAGCCATATATGGCTCTTTTGGTGACGGCATATGGCTCCCAGAAAAATCTATTATTCTAAGACTAAGCTTACTATTGTTACGAGATTTCAAACTCTTTTATAGCCAAATTTGGCAGAAAATTCCCAATACGTTTGAGAACGCGCGCCCAGCGCATGTCTATGTTATGTAAGAGAATTACCAGACGGGCATCGTGACAAAACAAGGGAATTCTGGAACAAATTTTGTGACATTACAAAGCCATAGAGTTTTAAAAATACTACGGGAATACCGAACTGAAAAGAGTGATGAGTATCGTAGATTTCAACTTGGGCTGCATGTGAGCAACCGTTCAAGGCCCGCAGCGACAACATGCAGCATCAGATATCACATTAAATGTATATTGACTTTTGAGTAAACATTTCAGGCTTGATTAAGTGAAGAAATGTTATATGGCTCGCACGGAAATGCAATTGAAAATATGTATATTTTATGGCTCTCTTGACCAAAAAGGTTCCCGACCCCTGGACATATAACGATGACGTGAGCGTCATCGCGTGGATTTCAATCGTACAGGCATCCACTTATCTAACAATGTATAAGTAGTTGCGGTAATAGAGCAACTTTCGCCCTGTTATAGATAAAAAAAAACTTTTCTTGATCTCACCGCTTCTCTTTATATGAAAAGTTTTTTATCGTCTGGAAGTCGACTTCGGTATACGACATTCTCCGCCCATGTTATTTCTGCTACCAATTTTTTTTTGTCCTCGGTTGGAAGTTCCATGGGCTCGCTGAGATCGACGGATTTTAACTAAAAGGAATTATTTGGGTGTTTTTTTAAACAAAATAAAACTCCTGAAATTATACCCAGTAGTGCAGATGTAATGATTCATTTCCGTGGCAGTCTGACTTGGAATATTTCAAGTTTTGTGTTTACAGATAACTTATTATCTGCTTTCTACGACTTTAATTCAAATTTGTTGATCCAGACGAGGCTCTGAACAAAATCCAATGATATCTAACGATGTGCATACAACATTATATTCCTAGCAGAACAATGCGTTCGCATCGGCAACTTATGTTAAAGACAACTATTAAGGAGTGAATCCACGGTACTCCTGAGGTATGCGCACCAAGTCGCATAACCAGAACCCTAACCTGGTACAAAACCTGAGTTCAGGTTGTGCGCCATCGTGGTGCGCATACTTCAGGAAGTCCGAATCCACGATTTATCTTGATTGTATTTTGATTTTTGTTAACAATGAGTGAACACGTCGCCGTGTTCCCCCCTACAAAAAAAAATGAAAAATAAAAAAAATATGGAAAGTGTCCGTCCCTGCTCCCCATATACAAGGGCCACATACTTTGTGTTGTCCAAGTGACTGTGAGAACTCGCTCAAGTCATTTGCAGTCCAGAGACATTCGCTCAAGTCAAGATTCTTCACTTCCCATTTTGCCACCATATTTCCAGTCCCTTTCGGGTCGATACCAGGATTTTCACTCAGATCTATAGTCTCCACCTGCAATTATAGGATGAGTATTAAAGTCGCTGTTGTGCTGTTAGAAAAATCCGTGATAGCCTAAAACTAAGCCTTAGTTGCTAGATATGTTATATCGTGACGCCTGAAAGAACAGAACATTCGGAACATATTCTAGCTCAGTGGTTCCCAAACTTTTTGTACCATCGCCCCCTATAGTAGTTTATAAAACTTCATCGCCCCCCAGCACTACAAAAAAATGTAAAGCCAGGATCGAATATATTACAGACCAAATAAGAAGACAACTCATAGTTTATAGTGTTTTTTAATGAGATGGATGAGCTTGGTGTTCGTCAGCGAGTTTATTATTATATCTAAAATTACCCCGTTTACTGATGGAAAGGCGATTTCGTTGTTTTGATAGCAATAGTAGCGCGGCAGAAAATACCCTTTTCACCATATAAGAGGTCGGAAATGAAAGAATCCAGGGTTTTGCCTTCCTAAAAACCGACGTGTACTCTTGCCTTATAGCATATAACTCCTTAAATCCACCCCGTCACCGTCAACAAATTTTACATTGAAATATTGAAAACAAAGTTAATTTCCCTAAACTTATTAATTATTTTCGTACATCTTGTTCGTCCCTACAGCCTGATGACCTGCACCAAAATATAAAATATATAACGATCTCCGGTAAAATCCATCCCGATTCCCCAGTCGATAGAATTAATCAGCCATTTGTTTTGGATTCGTGCACTCGGATGTGGAAGAAGTCGTGACCAACTGGCAAATTTTATGTCGCTCGCGGGACAAAATGAAGGGTTGCTAGTATTTTGCGGGTCGCATATATATTTTGAAAGTTAAAAACGAAACAGCGCACGAAAACTGCGACAATTCGTGAACTCAACTCAGTCGTCCTATTAAAAAATTATTACAACGACATTTAATGTGTATTACGCTTGATAGCTTCACGACGACAAGATTGGCACATTTTCTAAATAGGCATCACTAATCCCAGTCCTTCGTAATGTTCATTTTCGAAAATATTTGTTCGCACAGATATATACTTCCAAACATCGAAGTGAATATTTTCGCATGGTTTGTGAAATTTTGATAAAGATTTTTTTTAGGAAGATACATTCTTACAAAAATTAAGCAGTGAACGAATTTCTCGAATAGAATATGAATTCAATTTCCTTATTGCATTGCAATATATTCGAATATTTACTGCGCTATTGAACCCCTGCACTAAGCATCAACTTTTCTGCGTGTTTCCATTTGTCTATGTATAATTAAATTGTAGGCTCGTTAAACGAGTAGCTGTTTAGTAGCATTTTTAGGATACAATGAAATTTAGTCTAACCGTTTCTCACGATAAATTCTGTTACTTTTAAAAAACAAATTGCTGAATGGTATGAATTAGAATGATAGTTTGAAACAAAAACTGTATTTTACAGGCAAAAACTCGCAAAACCACTCTTAGAATAAGCACCGAAAATTTTGAAATGGTAACGTACAGGAAGAATTTTCCGGGGTTAAAGGTCGGGGAAAGGTCCATTCAGGGAAGCGTCCCGGGCCAGGTTATTTTACTCCGCCCGTATTTTGCCGACCACTGAGATACGCAAACTGCCGTATACCTTACTGCGAAGACGAGTCCAGCAATCCTTTCGCGTGTGATAATCGTCCACGTGATTCAAACCGACGAAAGCATGCAGAGTACAGTAATCAAGTGCACGAAGCGCCGAACAAAAACATGTTTCGCGAAATCGCCACCTTCGACTTTTTCGCCCCCCTCTGTATCATTTTCGCCCACCGGGGGGCGATATCGCCCACTTTGGGAATCACTCTTCTAGCTAGAGAAAATATGACTTTTGTGCAAAGCATCTTAGATTACTGAAACTTTTGAGTATAATCATACGCAAACATAAGTTCAAGTGTTAAATAAATTTTCGATACTCCCGTTGTATGTGTAACAGGTTAGGGTTAGACCATAAGTTTATTCCGATTTTCTTTATTTTAGTTCTATTACGATTTCGGGACTGTCTGTGTTGGCCGAGTGAATATACCCCCTGCCCATAGGTGTCAGTCCACAACTTGATGTAAAGTAGGCGAACAAAATTAGTTACCTCCATATTGGTATACACTCTCCTGAAGCGCCAAATAAAAAAGAAATTATTTGGTTTTGTTGTTAGGTCACTCTGTGTTATTTCTAGTGGTAATAGAAACGTATTGACGTTTTCTTGTCTGATGAATTGACGTTTTACTCACGTTTATTGTTTCTGTATCTGATGAAAAAAATTTCTGAATAACTTCTTCAGTCAAACCACAACAAGACATATCCAGTTGCTTTGTCGAAGCTTTGTGAACGATTCCGGCAATTTTGCTTAAGGTGTCGCAATCTTTAATAGGATTGTTGCTAATGATGAGAAATTCGACCTAGGAACAAAAACAAGTATAAAATACCAATATTTATTTATTTGCGTGTTGAATGCACCATAATCATATAAACAAGAGAGCAATGCTCAAATATATGGACACGCAGAACAATTCCTCAAAAATCATATGCGGTGACCAACGACTAACATACCGGCGGTGACTTACCAGTACCTGTATCGGGGTACCGTGACGGTACAGGGACTGTCATAGATATTTTAGGTCCTGTGACAATTGAAACATCAGTTGAAATATCTCGTGATATGAGTCAATTATGTACCGTATTATCGGATCAGGTACCGAACCACAGTCAAACATTTCACATAAAAACGTTACTAAATAACATGCGTCAACTTAACACCAGCCGAATCGGGGTACAATTTTTGGTACAGTGACTGTCATAGCCGTTTAGGGCTGATGGACAATTCGACTACACGGACAACTCACCAGGCCTAGGGTGGTGTAGCCAGTCTGCGGACAATTTCATTCAAACCGCTATAAAACAAAAACCAATATATCTAACCCGTTAATTTTTTCACCGTGGGTGCATTGGCGGCATTTATTCTACACGCTAAACCTCGTATTAACTTTCTACGACAAAGGGTTGAAGCTATACAAATCCCCAAAGTACGGCACTCGAAAGACGTATTTGCGACCGACCAGTGTGCGACCATGGATTTCAAGCCTTGATCACCGTTTATGCTGCGTCGAGACTATCGCATACGCAGCCATACAGCAATCAAACAGACAAAACACGGTGGTCGCAAATTGGTTGACAATTGTTGGTCTTGTGACAGCGTGAAAACATTGGGCTTCTAATTGCATTTCCGACCGTCATATATTTCAAGAACACGGTTATTTCGAACAAAACTCGTTAAATTATAAACAAAGCATCACATCACAGCAATCAAACAGACGAAAACACGGTGGCCGCAAATTGGTTGACAAAGATATTATCGACGTATCGGAAATGCACACCCCCTATTCCCCCTCCTTCAAATGTAGAAACGCGAAACTTTCAAATATGGTTAAAAGAAACACAACTCTACCCACCTGCCAAGTTTCATCTTTTTATTTCTCATATTTGTATGGATTTTCAAGCTTTTGACAGCTACGAGTTAGTTCAGTGTCACCGCACTGTGTTACGGTACCAGAACTTCTCTATCTTTAGAAGGTCCTGTCTTGTGACAGCGTGAATTGAAATTGCAAGATGGTCCGTTGGACACAAAATGGCGTCCGATATCCGCAGAACGTTTAGTGACGTCATAGCAAACAAAAACAAATCTTACAGAGCTAACAGAAATATTTGAAATAAATAAAAGTAATAGCCTTCTGGAGAAAAATTTCATCTTCAACCACTGAAAATTTCAAAGCAATTAGTCCAGTAATCAAAGAGAAAAGCGACTTTTTAAAAACGTGTCAAAGAACAACAACAACATAATATTGAAACGATCGTTATGTCCACTACGTGTCCAAAAACCACGGTCTTGGTAGGTTATAGCAACGAAGTGGAGATTTACATCTAAAGCGCTAAGCCGAGGGCCGAGGCAGCGTTCAGACTACGGACGTCATTTTGAGACAATCGCTCTCCGTCATGTATCACAGCGTTTTATGGAAATTCTGCGCACACCGATTGAAACGCTCAATATTTTCACTAATATTTTAGGTAGGAAAATTGGGAAGGTTGTTTCCTTTAGAAAGAATATTAGCCGAAGACGTTAAGATCTTATTAGATTTACCAAACCACATGTATATAGTCCATTAAATTGACTATGAAGACAAGTATACCGGTGTCGAGTTCTACTCGAAGTAAATTTTGGACATTTTAATCGTCATAATTGATATTTGACAATCCTTTTTTATGATGTCACAGACTGGAAGTGATATTTGTCGGACGAAATTAACGGCCGACCCAACTTTGCTTCAACGATCTTTTTTAAAAGTTTCAAAATGCCCAACTTTATCCAGATGAACCAAAGGACATTGCACCGCCGTTATTGTTTGTTTGTTGCGCCGGCATTATATCGCGTCAGATAAATAATTTGACGCGAGAATTTCATTCGAGTAAACATGTTTTGGTACATTGGAACCACGGCTCTAAGTTCGAAGAAATGTCCATCAGACTGCGGGCAATAAACTCTTCCAAACCAGGCCAACAAAATTTAGCCCCGGACACAAAATAAACAAATAAGACATATAATCGATACGATACATGAGTTAATTTTTTCCATATAAACGATCATGAAGCCGGGTGTCCAATATAGTCGTACTTTTGTTCCAACAGTACCTTAAACAGATTTGATTATCATATGCCAAGTGCCAAACGCGGACAAATAGAAAATGATTTTTTAGGATTGATATTACGTGTCGCACTCTGAATTGTCTCGTAATGCACAGTTTAGAAGCCACTGGTCTACATATAATTACAATCATGAAAGTTTACTTTTTTTTCTATCTTATTCCCGAACGCGGCCAATTTTCCAGAGGTCAAACCACATCCAGAAAGGTTCAATTGGTTCAATCCGTTAACAGGTTTGTTCGCAATTTCTGCAACGGCTTCGATTCCCTCTTCGCTGAGTTCTACATGTGTGAGATTCAGACTTTGAAGTGATATCTGAAATAAAATAGAAAAAATATTTAGGGCAATAGGTTAAATAGCAAAGCAACAGAAAAGGTCCTGTATAGAAAAATGGATTGACTGAAATAAGTGGTCAACTAATCCAATATTCGACAAAGACAAAAAACCAGGAAATAGATTCGCTATCGAATTGAAACAGCTTTCTTCTCGAATAAACACGAAAGATCGAGTCTCAAGATTTCAGTTGATTAATTTCTACTGGTATACTCTCTCCAATTTACCCACCTTATTGGACACGTAGTGGACCTATGGACCGTTTTGGTATTTTTGTTGTTCTTGTTCCTTATAAAGTTATGACCTTATAAAGTTATGACATATTTAAGAAAAATTCGCCTTTCTCTTTGATTACTGGACCAATTACTTCTTTTATTTATTTCTAAATTTCGTATAAATTCTATGAAATCTGATATTTCTTCTGAAATTTCACTTTATTATTTTTATTCATTGGGACACGTTTTTTAGTCCGCAGGATGACTGACTGTCCGTTTTGATTCTGCAAAGCCTGCTATGTGAAATTCGGAATTTTTTTGACGGTACCGTTAAGGATAAGGTAGACTACTGCTTTTCTTTGGTCTACGTGTCACATATTTAAGCATTGCTCTCTTGTTTGAAATATCATACTCTCTTGTTAAATATTCAATAATACAATATAAAATAATTTCAACCCCGGTTTTTAGATACGTTGCGATATTCTTCAGTTGATCGGTTGTTATGCTGCTATTAACCATACTTAATTTCGTGAGTCCTCCATTCAGAGTGTAAACAAGATCATCGGTGCTAAAATCCTTCGCGAACATCGCATAATCCATGTTGAGTTCACCTACCTGTTAAAATATACAATTTTTCGTTATTTATTATTTATTTATGGGCGCGTGGACCAGTGCGGACATGGTCCAGCCCAGTATGTTCCCCAACTTTTATTTCAGGAAGGGGGGGGGGGGGGGTTCCAAAATCAGGGATCTTTCGTTATTGTGATAAAACCATTTGTAACTTACAAAAATGTGTTATGTATTTGACTGATCATTTACACTCGCATATGAGCTTCTGCTATCACGAAACCTGTTTTTTTTTCATGTCATTTCGGTCGCAATGTACGTATTATAATCAATTTATATCAGCCTGGTATAGGTAGAGGGTAGTACTTTTGAATCCTAAGTCAGCTAAATATCTTACATTTAAAGCTCGCATCATGTTTGATCCAGCTTTGCTGAATTCATGGTCGCTTATGTTAAGTTTTAAAGGATGCACGGCATCCAGAAATGCTTTCATTTGATCAGGATCCATGTTATTGTTGCCACTCAGATTAACATTTTTAATCTGCAGAACAATCAAAAGAACAAAATTTATATATCCTCCAAAATTATCCATTTTAAATTTGTGTATATCATGGAGTATTCGAATAAACTATCTATCTATAAAGGCCACTCAACGACACCTACAATTTGACTGGCATACGGCATACTGGCATTACATTTGACGGCAAGTCGGTGGGAATTGGTCCGCAATTTTGATTTGAAGCTTTTGAATGGTTGGTAGCGGAACTTCAGTGCAAGTCGAACAGGGCCAGGCTACCGGTATTAATGTAATAACGTTTTACACCCTTTGTTATGCAATTATTACACATTGTGTTGCAAAAAGTTAACCCGTTACCTGTTTCCCTTCGAACGTTTTGCAGAGCATCTTGAGAAAGCTCTCATTAACATTGCAATTGCGTAATTTTAGCGCATTGACTGAATGTGTGTGGAGGAGATTTTCTAATTTCACTTTAAGATGTTTGATTTCCGCTTCATTGAATTTCAAATGACAGAGCTCAAATTTACGCGTTTTTTTGCACTGTTCAATTGCAGTTTCAATACTGCTCACGATATTGGCATCTTCCAATGGTTTGGGCACGTCGCCTTCTTCCTCGCTTCTGAAAAATTGAGTTTCTTATATAAATTTCCTGTTTATTGGACACGAAGTGTGCTTAAAGGTCATTTGTGACATAGCGCCTGACAAGGTTGAACCCTGATATATAAATGGTTTTAGTGTATGGGCGGTCACTTGCAACTCTTATTTCATTTGATTCCGAAATAGAAATATCCGGACTCCACTATTAGCTAATTTGCAACCTTTATATCAGTACTCTTCCTACTGTTGGCTGAGGCCTCGAGATCTTGCTTTTTAGCTAACTCGGTATTTGTTTCAAATGCATGGACGTGATGGTGTAGGAAGCCGTAAACGACCAGCGGTCACATGAACCACCCAAGGCGGCGAGGAGCCCAGCAAACCTCTCACACATATTTATCCCCAACGGGATTCGAACCTGCGAACCCGCACATCTAGGTGCGATTTCCTGGTTATTCCTTAACTCATAGCATGATGTGAAAAATGCCATGCTTTTCTACTTTTAGTTTCGAGCTCAGGACTTTGCGAGCAATACTGTATAGTGCAGGGGTGGACAAGGTTTTTGAACCAGGGCCCAAAAACTTTGCCCAGCGAGCCATGTAAGTGTGACGTAAAGAGTTACATTTTATGAACAATATTCACATTGTTACAAAAAGTGAAAAACAATAAGCCTCGTCTCAAAACTAAATTTTAATAGCAATATCAACAAATTCCGTGAGTTATTTTTTGTTCAAACATCAAAATTTGGTTTAGTTTGGTTTTGGCAGTATCAGGCTGGCCAGATTGAAGGACCAAGCGGGCCGGATGTCAGATATAGTGTGCACTATATAAACATGCTACAAGTGATCTCTATCTTTGTACAGTTTTAACTCACTCGGATTCGGAAAACCCGCTTTTCGCCATTTCAAGGCTCACTCCACCCAACTCTCAACAGATGCTGGAAATGTCCCCGATTAGAAGAGCTCGCTTGTTTACTAAAGTTAGATAGATGAACGTACTGAATTGTATTTAGCAAGTATATGAAATTGCTACAGTTAAAAGATCAGCTTGTTTTTGAGTACAGTATTAGGTTTGCTTTTGATTTACTTACAAATACTTCTCTAATTTCGAGGTGTGGCACCAAACTTTAAATTCCAACAACTAAGCCATTTTATTTTGGTGGTTCACGAATGAGTTCTATCGCTAATACCACACCCTTAATTTGAATGCACCAAGATGGCGCACAACCTGAACATAGTAGTTGTACCAGGTTAGGGTTCAGGTTGTGCGCCATCTTGGTGCACATACTTCGGGAGCGCCGAATAATCATTTTTGAGGACCCGAATCTATTCGATTCTACTCAGCCTACCCAATTTATTACACCCTGTGCAAGGCGGTGGACATGGTGTGTAATATGTGGGGCCAACATATTAACTCTTTGAACTCTGAATCCTCAGAACGATGCTACTCTCTCACCCTGACCTCCCACGGCGTCGCATCGATTTGACGCGTTAAAAATTTGTAATATCCCTAATTTCAAATCAAAATAAGTTCTAAACCATTAGATATCAGATGGTCTGTAATATGTCATATTAAAGCTTATCTAGTCTTTTATTTTTAACTGGCATTATTTTTCACGAGATGTTTTGATGTGATGTGTAAGCCTATTTTTAGCCCCATCTACTATTTTTTTGTATTTTGGTAATATTTAATACATTTTTTGGAAATGTATCATCAATATAAGTAAAATTTTGAAAAGTATACAAAATTACCTTTCGGAGAATATACGGATGACTTTCTTAACATACGCATAACTCATTTTATTGCAGAGTTTGCACTATCGATTCAAATGGTTTGCGAACAAAATTGATCAACTATTTTGACGCCAAGTTTGCGTAACGACGCAAAGGACGACGACGACGACATTGTCGTGATAACGTTCATGCGACGTCTCGTGCGTAACCCTTTGCGTGAGGTATATTGCGCAATTGCACATCTGGTCGTTCACAGCTTGAATTCAGATTGTGTCATCATTGCATCAGTATCATATCCTCGGCCGCAGATAAAACCCTTTCAGACGAATTTTGATCGAACATAGTAAAATTGTTAGAATATAAAGGCCATTTTATATACGTTTACTATTTGGATATGGGACGAAAATGAATGGCCAAAACGAAATATAACGCCGGAAACATCAAGGCTAATTATTCACCGTTGGAAATCATGAAGATTGAATAAAAAAAAAACTGATAACGGGTACACGGAAGACATGGTGGCACCAGTAGCTCACCTGGTCAGTGTTTTACATTTTGCGGCCTCATTAGATTTTCGAAATTACTGCATATACGTTACATTCCTGATATCGCTATATTTATAATGGATTTTGAACGAAAGCTTTGTCCAGATGAAATATTGGATAGTATTCATCTATCGGAAGAAGAAAATATGGCACAATAAAACTCAGCAATGGCGCTAAACAATGCATCCATCGATATGTTCCATCATTCCGTTTTTAGAAATCCTTATTTTTGCTATGCGTATTTTTCATATCTTTATGCAATTAAAACGGTAATAACACTACGTATTGTGTGTTTTAGTCGAACCGATTTTGAGGCTGGATGTAATGCGTAAATTTCCCCGTGTATCGTTTACAAGTCGTTAGTCGCTTCACGAATACGAACTTAAGTAAATGACGTTACGAGCATGCGAGGAAAAGTGTTTCTCGTATGAAACGTAAATATGCTACGTGCCAACGTAATTGCTCAACGTCGCTGCGTAACGCCGTAAATGTGTTAGGTCGTTATTTACGTCACCTCGATCTTGCGACAAACAAAATCACGAATAAAAATGCTTCTAAAGTTTGAATGTGATCACAATATTTTATCTCAATTTTGAAATTATACTTAGTCCTGTAGATTATCTTACACACGATGTAAAACTTGTCTAAATATAATAAATGGTTCGCGAGATATGAGGTTTCAAAGTTGCATACGTTTTACGGGATGCGAAAGCCGCTCAAGCGGCTTTCAGCGTCAGAAGACTTTCTCGGGAAAGCCGCTATAGCGGCTTTCAGGGTTCAAAGAGTTAACTCTTTGAACCCTGCAAGCCGCTTTCCCGCTTTCCGCTTGAGCGGCTTTTGCATCCCGTAAAACGTATGCAACTTTGAAACCTCATATCTCGCGAACCATTTATTATATTTAGACAAGTTTTACATCGTGTGTAAGATAATCTACAGGACTAAGTATAATTTCAAAATTGAGATAAAATATTGTGATCATCTTATGAAAATTGGCAAAATTAAAAAGCATAAAAAACTTCTGAAAATTGCTCAAATCTAATTGACAAAACTTCAATTTGTTTTCGATTGAACCTAGTACATTATCGACAAAATTTCTAGAATTTGAAGATAGCTTTCCAGTGATACTATTAGATTGAACTTATGTTGCACCATTCAAACTTTAGAAGCATTTTTATTCGTGATTTTGTTTGTCGCAAGATCGAGGCGACGTCAAGGTGACGTAAATAACGACCTAACACATTTACGGCGTTACGCAGCGACGTTGAGCAATTACGTTGGCACGTAGCACGTTTACGTTTCATACGAGAAAAACTTTTCCTCGCATGCTCGTAACGTCATTTACTTAAGTTCGTATTCGTGAAGCGACTAACGACTTGTAAACGATACACGGGGAAATTTACGCATTACATCCAGCCTCAAAATCGGTTCGACTAAAACACACAATATGCAGTGTTATTGCCGTTTTAATTGCATAAAGATATGAAAAATACGCATAGCAAAAATAAGGATTTTTAAAAACAGAATGATGGAACATATCGATGGATGCATTGTTTAGCGCCATTGCTGAGTTTTATTGTGCCATATTTTCTTCTTCTGATAGATGAATACCATCCAATATTTCATCTGGACAAAGCTTTCTTTTAAAATCCATTGTAAATATAGCGATATCAGGAATGTAGCGTATATGCAGTAATTTCGAAAATCTAATGAGGCCGCAAAATGTAAAACACTGACCAGGTGAGCTACTGGTGCCACCATGTCTTCCGTGTACCCGTTATCAGTTTTTTTTTTATTCAATCTTCATGATATCCAACGGTGAATAATTAGCCTTGATGTTTCCGGCGGAACCTCATAAATTCATGAGGATCAAATATTTCGTTTTGGCCATTCATTTTCGTCCCATATCCAAATAGTAAACGTAAATAAAATGGCCTTTATATTCTAGCAATTTTACTATGTTCGATCAAAATTCGTCTGAAAGGGTTTTATCTGCGGCCGAGGATATGATACTAATGCAATGAAGCCACAATCTGCACTCAAGCTGTGAACGACCAGATGTGCAATTGCGCAATATACCTCACGCAAAGAGTTACGCACGATACGTCGCATGAACGATATCACGACAATGTCGTCATCGCCCTTTGCGTCCTTACGCAAACTTGGCGTCAAATAGTTGATGAATTTTGTTCGCAAACCATTTGAATCGATAGTACAAATTCTGCAATAAAATGAGTTATGCGTATGTTAAGAAAGTCATACGTATATCCTCCGAAAGGTAATTTTGTATACTTTTCAAAATTGTACTTATATTGATGATACATTTCTAAGAAATGTATTAAATATTACCAAAATACAAATAGACTTACACATCTCATCAAAACATATCGTGAAAAATAATGCCAGTTAAAAATAAAAGACTAGATAAGCTTTTATATGATATATTACAGACCATCTGATATCTAATGGTTTAGAAGTTATGTTGATTTAAAATTAGGGATATTACAATTTTTTAACGCGTCGAATCGATGCGACGCCGTGGGAGGTCAGGGTGAGAGAGTAGCATCGTTCTGGGGATTCAGAGTTCAAAGAGTTAACTCACTCGGATTCGGAAACCACGCTTTTCGCCATTTCAAGGCTGACTCCACCCAACTCTCAACAGATGCTGGAAATGTCCTCGATTAAAAGAGCTCGCTTTTTTACTAAAGTTAGAATTCAGGGGTGCGCATTCCTGTCGTGTACGA